TTTCTCATGTAAGTATGAGTAGAATTTTCTCGTGATATTATCATATAATTTAATAATAATTATTCAAATTTTAATTTTTAAAAATTAGATTTGAATCTTAAAAATTAACAACCTCATCTCTACCTAACAACACGTGTACACTTACAATTATGACTCCAATAATTGACCGGATTATTAATTCTAAATCTACACTAAATTAATAAAAATACGAATTATATATAAAAAAAAAAAACTATTAAATTGCACCCGTGTATTTTTTTTTTCTTTTTTGAAACATTGAAATCTATAAATAATATTTATGGATCAACTGGTTATTGGGTATAATTTTAATTATTACTTTGTTAAAAAATACAATTGGTTTCATGGGTGGGAAAAAGCATTTCACTCTGTCTCGTGCATGTGTTTAGCGAGGAATAAGAAGCGTCAGCCCTACAAGGCTAACTTGCCACGAGACTCGATGAAAGTGCGAGTCAAGAGATTCCGTATAAATAGTGGAATCTAGTCATAGATAGTTCAAACTTTTTTTTTTCCAAATAGATTACATCTCGTTCTAATTCTTAATTCGACCATTGAAATATGGTCACTAATGCGAGTTTTTAGTAGAAGTCATTATCTTAGCTGATTCAGCCCCACTTCATATTCGTATGAATGAGGAATGATACATGCATGTCCAACTACTCGAGAAATAGAAAGAAGTGTCGAACCAATGATCCCCACGTGGAGAGCAAGGGGCCAGTAGATGAGCTACTTGAATGAGCAACCTGGTCCCTTTGAACCCTACCATCTGCAAACAAGGCGACAAGGTTGGAAACAAAGGTAGGATGGTTGGTGGTGCATGGCTAAAATTGTTGGCTTAGAGAACCAAATGTTGCCAAGAGACTCTTGCAAAGGTAAAGGACGGGCTAGGGACGAGCTCTCCCTTGAGGGTCCTATTGGGAAGCTCCATCGAGGTTTGACCACATGATGCCTGAGGTACGGGATTAATCAAAATTAAGCTGCCAAAAGACAAGATCTCTTCAACAACTCGAAAATGAGGTTGAGGCTTAAGATCGAGAAGTATTTCCACCTCGTTCTAAGTATTCACATTTGGCTAATAGAACTGGAAGCCAAGCTCTTAAAGTGTACTCAGAATTTATAAGGTCATGAAGGGCATTGGGTACGCCACACTAGTTTGATACAAGCTACATCATGACGACGTAGCAACCTGAGAAAAGAAGATGGACATGAGGATGTCCTACCCAGAAATTCTGGAAAAAGCAACTTTTAAGACTAAAGTTTTTAAGTAAGGGAGATTTGATGACACTCCAGCCTCAAAGAGGATTAGTTTCTCAATTTTTACTTAAGAGTTCCAACTTTTGAGATTTTATTGGGGCTTTAGAAGTAAAAAAAAAAGTAAAAACTTAAGTCCACTTAGGATAGGAAAAAATCATAAGAGCTCAACAAAAGTATAAAAGAAAATATGAGGGGTAAAATAGTCATGTCCGTCTACATGCAAATTAGGGAGTAGGTAAATATCCTAATACAAAAATAATTAGGAAGAAAAAAAAGAGAGTGAGAAAAAAATAGATCGTGCATACTTTGATTCGAGCTATGAAGAGTCATTTTTCAGACACGGTTCCTTCGTGAAAGTTATTTAGAAGGTTAAGGATATCAAATTAGGTCTCTTGAATCGTCTAAATCCATCCAGAATCAAGGAAAGTCGAGTGTTAAAAGATTCGAGTATTAGAAGCTGGAGTTGAATCCGACCAGAAGTCAGAGTTTGAGCGAACATCAAAAATTGTAAAAATGAATTTTTAGCTTAGTTCGAACAAGTTTATTTCGTTCTACAATTTTGAAGAAAAGTCGAGGCATAAACAAGACAAGGGTCACGAGTGTCAAAAATAAACTTGTTGAAGGGTCGGGTAGAACGAGGCCTTAACTTCCAAAGTCAGGGTTTCGAAGAAAACTTGGACAGGCAATTTTGGAGTCAAGTCCGTCCCATATGAAATATGAATGCTAGTCAAATTTGGTGTCAATCAAACACCAAATGGACACTCCATGTGTAAGGCCCAAATTAATGATTATAAAAATAAGCCCCATGTTCAGCTATTGGGGCCAAACCCTTAAGCCAGCTGCCGTTCTTCCTCCTTTTTGTCGTTTTCTTCCTTAGACAGTTGTCACCTAAAGCTCACGCCGTCCGGTAGCCAAATATTTCCCACACCCCCCCCCCCCCCCCCC